TTTCTTTAATAAATTGTACATCCCTTCTAACCCTAACTTACACGTAAGACAGCCTAGAAGCTCAAGTATCTTCTCAGTTTTCTTCTTTTCTCTATTCCCAATCTCTTTCTCAACTGAAGCCAAGCTAGCAAACTGAAAAAACAAACACACTTTTCTGCAGAGAATCAACTGTTAACAGAAGCTCAGAGCACTCTACAAAATGTAGTTTCTAGTATTCAGGCACAAATTCCTACCAGGTCAATGATCTGTAAAGCCTTTGTTTTAAGAGTGCACTGTCTAAGCATCACTTCTTGAAAATTTGATCAATTTCAGTGGCTAATATTAAGTCCAGGTCCTTAAAAGAAGGCTGTCACTTCAAGGGCAGTTGGACTAGATGGCCTTCAGAGATCCTTTCCAACTCTAAGGATTCTATATTTCTAACTATATTTACATCGCAAAAGCATTTGTAATTTCTCTTTTTTAATCTGTTGCCTTCCCTTCTTTTTTTTAATGGATATACTGCCGCTATAAAAAAGACCACTAAGCTCTGTTAAGTGTAAGTAGAAAGCCCAAAAAGGGAACCAGAACAAAACTGAAGTGAAAGAGTTTGAGAAAGGCATAGAAGCTGCACCGTACCACATTTCTCAAACAAATTACAGCCACCAGCAGGCTAACAAAATCTGAGAGGTCAACAGATCATCCAGGTGTAAAACAAAAAAACAAAGCACTTAGGGAAGATAAATCCAGAGATGCAAAAACTACTTTTGCTGTGTTCACAGAATCACAAGGTTGGAAACGACCTGCAAGATCATCCAGTCCAACCACCCTCCCATTCCTATCAGTGCCACAAGCTACTAAACCATCTCTCGTAGCTCCTCATCCAGGCGCCTCTTGAACACTACCAGGGATGGCGACTCCACCACCTCCCTGGGCAGCCATTCCAGTGCCTGACCACCCTTTGAAAGCCTTCTCAGAGGATTCCCACTTCAGAAAAAAAAAGCTTTGGCTGTGCCCCTCACAAAGTTAAAAGCCACCAAAGAAGCAGTCATAGGACAGTAGTGGCAGAAGAAAAAGATCACTTCCCAAAACATAGTCACGATTTCCAAGATCAGATGGCATCCACCCCAGAAACTCAGTGATGAAACAACTGAACTTCCAAATCCAATATGCATAGTCTTGGTTTATAATACATCAGTATCAGGAGGCTTGAAGATTACTAAGAGGATAACAGTTTGGAAAATGGTCCTAGGAGGAATATCCCAGTTCAACGATAACATTAGCCCCGTTTTGTCTGTGCGGAGCAGATCTGAGCTCTGTGGAGCTCAGATCTCTGTGGATTGCTCAAACCAGCAATCACGTAGATAAGCATGATGCACAGAGACACCAAACGTTTGTGAATCTTTTGGCCATACTGCATGGCTTTCTAGATTCTCAGAAGGCACTCAGTGAGGTCCCTTAGTAAAGACTCTTAAAAAAAAAAAAAGCAAACATGAATATGCCTTGGTACAAAGGAAAAGACCATACGTGAATAACTGCTGAAAAGACAAGAAACAAAGGCGGGTATGTGTCTGATGGGAGCTCTGCACAATTCTGCTCAGGTTTGTATTCTCCTCTGTGTTTGTCAAAGGTAAATAAAAGCGTGACAACAGTTGATGAGTAATTCAGGGAAAAGACAAGCACAATCTGCAAATAAATGAAGGATGAGTTCATACTGCCGAGGGGGCAGTAAGAATGGCAGATAAAATTCACTGCAGTGTCCATTGTTAATGCACATGGTTAGCCATTACTGTGCAGAAATGAGAATTTTGCAGAACGATAGAAATCACTGCTTTGCAACAGAAAGAAAAGCAAAAGAAACAGCTAGGAACTGCTGGGAACAGAGCACAAGACTGAAAGCATTACTACACCACCACTATAATTCCAAGTACAAGAGAGCAAAAAAAGAAAAGAAAGAAGAAATAAAGACAAAACCATCTATGACAGGGAATATCAAGCCACTGCCTTCAGCTTAGGGAACCTCAGAGGATTGAGTTACTGGAAAATAAGTGAGTCTTCTGGGAGCTGGCTGCCCTGCTCTTCCGCCATCAGTCAGCACTGGAGACAGGCTGTCAGCAGGGAGTACCTCCCACCCAACCTGGCTGCTCTTATCAGTTCTCATCTCCTGTCTTTATTCCAACTCTGAGCCTTAGAAATTGCATTGCAATTCTGAATGAAGACAACAGAAAGCTGATCCAGGCCAACATTCACTAAAACAAGTAGAAGGAACCTGAAGGAAACGAGTTTAATCCTGAAATGTTAAGACCTGTAGCTGTCCTCTGAGGTCACTGACTTCATCTTTGAATTTAGTGCAGCAGGATCATACCTAGAGTGAGCTACTTATGAACATCATACAGATAGAAGATTTATGAACCATTTCACTTCAATGAATTGAGGTAATCTTTATTTCCCATCAGATATATTGAGAGCAGAAATAAAAAAAAAAGAAAAAGGAGAGTACAAACAAAGTACTGATAAAGCAATGGGAATGACATAAATCACTCACCGCTGTCTGGTGATAGGGGAGGCACTGTAACATGATCATATGAAAAGTCTAACCAAGAAAGACAGGTTGGCAATCCCACTGTTTCAAAGTTCTTTTTCCTTTAACTTATTAAGCAGAAATAGGATAGACTTGCACAAAATAAAAAAGCAAAAGAAATTTTAAAAAAACAAAGAAAGAAAGACAACCCCCTAGCACATGTCACAGAACGATTGTTATTTTCTAATCACACAGTTATCATCTACGTAGATATTGTAAGTTTATTATACCCCAAAAACTAAGGAAAAGCCAGCTCGTTTTAGAAAAAAGAAGCCTGTCTCATTCAGTGTTTAATACACTACGTACATGTTTGGAGCCACTTAGGTGAAAACAATTTAGGAGGAAATGAGTATTGTGAAACACAGCCATTAACAGAAGAATATATATATATATTCTTATATTATATATAATATGTATATTATATACATACATTGTACGTACAAATATATACATAATATATATGGAATAATACATACACATATACACATTTTATAAAGCAGCCTTTGATTCCAAGATGTTTCTAATGAATTGATAAACAACAACATAGACTCATAGCAAAAGGGAAAATTACTGGAGTAAAATAGCTAAATATGAATATATATCGATTTTTTCCTCCTCGCGTTTGCTTCAGCAGAGCTCCATCATGGTGCTCTTGCCAGCAAGCCTCTCAAGAGCCCTAGGGGCAACAGCTTGTCCATCTGCAAAGCAGAAATGAATCTGTCCCAGAGAGCTCTGTAATGAGCAAGTGAAAGTCTCTGTGCAGCTGACCAAACCTTGTGACTGCAATTATCTGAGAGCAGAACAAACTTTTTCCATATGCTTCCAAACAAATTTCAGAATGGTACTACTTTGGTCACAGCCAAAACAGAAATATGCTCCATTTTAAGGATTAATATTAGCACTGCCAATCGGAAGTTAACTCACACATTAAAAATACCAACTAAAAAAATGTGGATTGTCTACAGGATGAAACATAGAGAAGATTTCCACGATTTCCTTCCTTCTCTTGTATCATGCAGTCACACAGCAGGCTTGGAAAGGCATTCATTCCTTTTAGGTCTGAGCTTGCACACAAAAAGTTTTTTGCTGCACAAAAGACATTTGGAATTTAGTTCAATTAACATTAAAGCTTTCTCTCACAAATGCTTGGCATGTAGAAATTTAACTGAACTGTACCGTAATCCTTAAACAGCCTTTCTTATATGCATTGAATGCTTTCTGGCTGTCGTACTGCACACACATGTTGGACACCTACACCACGCAGATGCACAATGGAATCTATCATCTCTGTTTTACGTAAAAGGCAGTATGTTGATACTGGCAACAGCAAAATAAACTTTAAGAACTAGTTTTAAATCTCTTCCTTCTTTCAAAGGCTCACAGCTGTTTGCTAAGGTAAGAATTTTAACTCCTAACCTCTCTGAAAAGTGAGGATTTTTTGCTTAGTTGAAGTGGTGAAAACAAAATCAACCAAGCAGAAAACAGTCCATTTTTTTGGGACGGTCATTTCTGAAATTTGACCATCTTTTATTTTTTTTTTTTTATTGGATGCCTATTTGGTATTAAATATCATCTGAAGCAACTTACACATAGGAGATTCTTTTCTGAGCATCATTTTCTGGATGGAGTACGAAAAACACATTTAACTGTTCCAAGAATATAAGCAGTAAACACACATGCAGTAAATACACATTCACATCCTTATTTTAGTTACATAGTTACAAATGCTGGTCTACCAACTGCACGGTTATTCTCATCAGATTAGCCAGTTAAGTCCGAAATTCCTAAATACAGCAACAATTTATATATATTCCAACAAGCAAATTCTTTTTATTTGTAAAAAACTCAGTGTACAAGATTTCCAGACTATTTTTTACCTCCCTCAGTGGTTTCAGCAAAGATAAGGGACAATCAATTCTTTCCAAGCTCTTTCCTGGAGCTTGTCTGCTACCTCATTTCCTGGCTCCTATGAAGCAATGTGAGACAAAACTTTGGTGAAAACTATCACCATAACATTTATGTTTTGAAATAGTGAGTTCAGTCCCTCAAAATGAGTAGCACATGGTATATGAGACAGTTCATACAATTAAGTTTAAAAAAAAGAAGTTACTGAAAGGTTTTCCAACACACTCTTCTTTCACATTTCTCAAGCCTACTTCACGAGACCTCCAGCTTCCAGACACTGCCAGGTGTTCTTACCCTTGATTTGCCCATCTCTGCCAGCTCTGTGAAGCACCTCTTTCAAACTCACTCTAATCACAGCATCACAGATTAAAAAGTGATATTCTTAGCTTCATCATTCACTGGGACTTGTAAATCAATTAAATGAAGAAGAAACAGACCTTGATTAAAGACCAGATTATATATAAGCTCAAAGACTATACATCATTAGATACTTCAAAGCCACAAAAACCAATTTGACTACTGTAACATAAAAACTTACCCACTTGGCAATCGGACACCCCTGAGAGCTTTTTCCTTCCTTTCCTGTATAAACGACTACTTCTATTCTCACAGCGCTTCCTTTTGCTCCATACCTGCATTAAGAAAGTTCAGGTGTGGAACTGAAAACACATTTTAAAACAGTAAACACATTCAATAAAACAAGAACAACAATTTTATTCTCAACTTTACTGAGAGCAGAAGAGAAAAAAAAAACATAGCACAACAAAGAACACTACTAAATTCAAAGTCCTGTTCGCAAAAACGATTTTGAAACATCTATTCCAGTAACAGGCTTCTGTCACTAAGTGGCTTCCATTACTTGGAAAAGAAATGTTATCTGCTTGAAAATCCTAGAGCACTTAGTCACTTTCTGTCCAATTTGAGACAGGTTGTTTGCATGCAAGACACCAGAAAGCCTACTCCTGCCAGCTGCTAATCTCTGTCATCACTATGGACTTCAACAGCACCTATGAGCACACGGGCTAAAATTGCTGGAGCTCAGACAAGATGCATGAATTTGGAATTAGAATGTGAGAGCTTCCCTCAAGCACATCAGAACAGGAAAATGTTTTACAAATGAGTACAGCAAAAGTATTAGAAAAACAAAGCCAAACAGCACTCATTTTCTCACAGCTCTTCTTCTTTTCTGTTTACACAAAAACACCGTTAGCACTAAAAAGCACATTTTCTCACCTGTTCTCCATTATTTCTCTCACAGCAGCAACGCTTGGTCCTGTCCCGAGGTGTGTGTAATATGGGCCCTCATCTTTCTCAATAATTTGCTCTACAAACAGGTTGAGAAAAATAAGTTCGCACATCATTTCTCATTTACATCACTACAAATCAGCACAGAAATGGTTTACAGAAACATCATCTTAAATACACAAAATCTGCCCCTGAAATGCAATGAATAAGTAGCATGATTGATTTTTCCCCTCAGAGACATCAAAATTATACTATTTCATGCTTGCTTTCTCCTATTAATCTTCTGGTAGATTCTCTTTCTTGGTGCTACAAATAGATCCTATTTATAATACTATCTTGCATTCTTTACCAATGTTCATTGCAGGACCTGACACATATTGACTAAGTAAGCTTCCAATGCCCTTGTGAGTAGGCAAACATTATCAATTAATTTTAGACAACGGAGAATTGAGGCCAAAAAACATCAGCTGACAGTCATATGCTACTACAGAACAAAAACCGCAATCCAGGCCTCTTAACTAACAGCTTGTTGCTTCAGAACATTAGAGCAAAGATGAAAAAATCTTCCTGTGTACAATGTTAACAGTCCCTGCAGTGGTTTTTTCTTCCCCATCTGTGTGCTTTGATAGTTTGAAAACACAGCATGTCCAATACCATCAATCAAGTTGTATTGCAAAATTCTCCGCACCGAGTTCAATCCGACACCTCATGCTACAACACAAACTGTTCTGTATCTGGATTTATTACCTAATCTCCACCTCATCTTATCTCTGAGATGAGACATCTACAAGCCTTTGACAGGAATCATAACAGAAACTCCCACCACCCTCAGGGCAAACCATGACAGTAACAGAACTGCCCTCAACAATTCCTTGCTGCTTAGCCAGGAGGCATTTAGGTAAAAATGAAAAGGTATTGGGAAAGTTTTTGCCCAGCTCATCTCAAGCAGAAACTAGTTTGAGACCATAGAAATCCTGATCTAATATACTCAGATGAAATTACAAGCATACAAGCGAGTAACAAGAAAACAACTGGAAAAACTCATTTTCCTCAATTTCAATTTAAACAGGTCAGATGCAAGGCCAAAAATACCGAATTTTGCTGTTATTTGCAGGCCTGAAGAACACCAGGCAAAGGTTACAGAAAGGGAAAGAATCATTTCCTTCTAGTCCCTAACAGCAAAACAAGTATCTTTTTGCAACACCTATGCACCAAGTATACTTTCTTGCATTAAGGGGAGCAACACAAACACATGCCCATGTGAGAGGTACAGGTAAAAGCTAGCAAAAGGATGACTTACCAACACAGTCACAAGTTGGCAATTCAGACTGTCCTTTTTTTGTAGGTGTATCTATTAAATTTTTTGTAGGAGTATCGAGAAACTTCATCGGTGATTCAAGAAAACTGCTGAGTGTGTTTTTTGCTGGAGAACACCCTGAGTCGCCTGTGCTCTGTGGATGGTCAGTACCCAAACTTCTTGATGTTAGAATGGTAACTTCACCTGCACACTCCATGTTCCTGAGAGCTTCCACAGTGCCTGGCACCTGACCCGCACTGCAGGAAACAGGCAGCATCTGCGACTTCGGATCTACCTGTCGATCAACAGCACCCTGCTGGACATAGGCTTTATCTTCACTGCACGCTTCGCTAGCTCTCAGGTTAGACTGACTAAAAGTTTGAGGCAAAGGATGTGTCTGACCAACATTCACTGCCTGCTGTACCTGAGAATTACATTTTTCTGTAAACATCTGTGTGTTTTCACTTGGTCTGGTTAACAAGGATGCTGTTTTCAACTGCGAAACTGACAGAGGATTACGGGAGAGCAGATCACTATATTGGTTACATGCTGCAACATCGTTTTTCAGTGGAATGATGCCTGGTGGGTCACTGGAGCCTGCAGTTTTGATTTGCTCATTCACCACTTCATAGCCAAACAACCTGTCTTTTTTTTTGTCCTGCGGTACCTCAGATAATCTGTGGAACTTTATCTGTGTTTGAGGAAGAAACAACCTAGGTTTTTCCTGTAATGTTAGCGCATTTTGACTCAGTGCTTTCTGTACTTTGGTTCTTGGTGATTTTTTTTCCGATAAAGCTATTCTGGAGTCCTGTGGCATGGTTTGGCCAAGCTTGTGCAGTTTTGATGATATCCAAATGTCCTGTAACTCACTATGCTGGCATGACAACAACTCTAGTTGGTTTCGATTAATTTGTTGATAGCGTGCTTCTTGAGGCTTTTTTTTGTGTCTTGGTTTCCATGGTACAGCATTTCCTTTTTTATTTGTTGATTGTTTTTGCTTTAACAGTAAGGAACCGCAATTATGCCTAAAAAATACAGATTCTTTTCTCTGCAGCAGATCTTGGTTATGTTTTGCTTGCCTCTCATGGGATATTAAGTTAAGCAGCGATGTCTTTATGTCATTCTTCTGTTCTGGATTTGCCCGGTTTGATTCAATTAATGCTGCAAGTTGAGTTAGTTGTGTAGCTACATCCTCTTCATCCTGGCTGTGAATTCCTCCTTCTTTAATTAAAGAACCAGCTTCCAAGTTCAAATCATTACAGGTTGGCTTTTGATCTAACTGGCCAAGAGTATCCAAGCTGTTGCTCGCATGTTGAACATTGCAATACCGTGAAAGGGTGACTGGATCATAGTTTTTCTTGGTATTAAGTCCTGAAAATGATTTTGCATTAGATCTTAACTCGGATAAAGTTTTGGTATCTCCTGAGGATAACTGCAGTTTATACATCTCGCTAGCAAGATTGGCAGGTTTGTCACGCAATTCAGAAATCGAACTTTGGCCATTGTACAACGCTGGCTTATTCGGGAGCTGCTTTTGTGAGTGAGCACAGTGAGTCAAGAGCTGTTGTTCTTTCTGTAAGTAAGTGTCATTGATTTCTTTTAATGTAGAAGACGTAAAGGAGGATGAAATATCTCTTTTATAACTATGGAGCAAGTTGGAAGTTCTTTCTTCTGTACACTCACTATTTTCAGCTTTAGCTGGGGAAGATGTTCCTAAAGGGACTTCAGATAACTGTGTTAAAGCTTCAATAGCTACAACCTGCTCCACAGTTAGGTTTCTGTTTTTAATCAGGGACAAGAAAGTTGGCTGGAGTGAAGGACTCTCATGCTGTGTCTCTGCGTTAGGTACTTTGAAGCCATCCTCTCCATGCACTTCCTCTTTAACCAAAGGAGGACAACATGTGCTTTCTTGCAGATCCAAAACAGAACTGGTTTGCAGTACTGACTTATCAGAATCCTGAAAGACACTGCAAGTACAGTTTTCCTCTTTCATGAAAAGATTTCCTTGTTTGTCTGGGTGAACACAGCTAACACTAGTTGTCAGAGTGCTGACTATGTCATTCAGATTGGTAGCCTTCATCCACTGGGCATGGGAGTTGCTTGTCAAATCTGTCCTTTCCACTACAGATGCTTTTTTCAGTGAAGCAACTGCTTCTGGTGATAAGTAATGTAGGGTTTTTATGCCATTTTTGATGGTCTGTGCAAATGATTTTTTTGGCTCAGCTAATTGACTGGGAGAGACCGCTCTTTCACTTTCTTCTGCATTTCTCAAGTGTTCGTGGCCTGTCACAGTTCCATGGGTATCTCCATTGACATGGACACCAAAGGATGGCTTCTCGTTATGTGCCCACTTCTCTGCTTCTAAGCCTGTCATTCTTTCTTTCTCCTTAGACTGTGCATTTTCAAAGGGTTGTGTTTGGTTTGTTTTCACCCTGTATTTTTCACCATGACCGCATATACTGCATTCCATGAGTTCTGGTCTGCGGCCATTTACTGGTTTGTTTTCTAAATTTGCCTGTGAAATAATAATAATAATAAAAAATGTTGTAACAGCTGCTCAAAAGCATTAAAAATAAGAAGCATATTACTTATAGCAATCAAATCCTACTTTGAATATATGAGGAATATCCTAATTAAGCACAGGCATAGATGTTGAAAAAAAACAGGAAGTCATAAAAAACCTGAAGCCTGCCCACATTTATAGTAAGGTCTTTTAATGGGGTAGGCAGAAGAAGAAAGCTTGTGCGTGGGGAAAACTAAAGAAATGAATTAGCACATAAAGGACTTCACTAAATGGTAAAGATTCTGATCTAAGGATTTAATTTTTTGCTGAATTTGCATAAGCAGAAAGTCTCCATCCAATTCAAAGCAAGACTGAAGTCTAAAAGCTTGGACTTCACAAAGTTTGGTACAATTGTACTTCTACAGCTATACTCAAACTGACATGTGACTTGTTTGGACACTCTAGCAAGAATGACTGCTTTTTGGGTTAGCTGCAACTCCTTCGAAACTGACAAACATTAAAGTGAGATGGTTAATAAGCCAGCTATGGTGTTAGTGCATCTGAAAGTTAGCACGTAAACACTGTGACTGCCTGCTACATTTAGATGGTATCTTTCACATTTCTGAACAGTATTTCAGGTAACTGAGCTAGCATTATTACTATTTTAGCAAACTCTTACTATTTAGTTTAATATATCCTTCATCTTCCCAGACACAATACACTTCATGTGGCTACAACAATTTCAAAACCAACCGAGTCAGAACACTGTGTCCTGGGGATTGTATGCAGATGGGCCTCATTTGAGGTAATAATCTTATTGCAGCACCTAAGAATTATTTGAATATTCTGTAGCTTTCAGCCCTACATAGAACAGAAAACAGCAGTTTTTCAAATCAGACTCTGCAATAGAACTGGTTAATTAACCATACATTGGCACAGAAGTTTTTATCAGTTCACTTTTAGCACCAAATTTAAAATAGTTGAATCAAACATGTTTTAGCAGCCATAGCTAAAATGCATGGACTTCTCCAAGAAACGAGAACAAATGTAAAATGGATTTATGATTAATCATAACCATCAAGGTGAACCTTTCAGAAATCCCTAGGCAAAATGAAGCATATGCACCTAACTCCATCTGGAGCCCAATATCCACCCCACAACTGATCACTAATTAATAAAAAACATAACAGAGAATCCTTAGTGTGCCCTAAATATTATCAGGTATCAAAATACTACGAAAATGCTATGTAAAAACGCATGCAACACCTCTGCAGCTAAGTCAAATGTATGGAAATTAAGAAAGAAAGACACCATACATGTTTCTCCATTACGCACAGATGCTGACTCAGGTCTCTGAGCCTGAACTCCTCTGGATCCTGGGGAATTTTCATCAAATGGGACCCAGGGGATCACCAAGAAACTTCTAAGAGTTCCACAAAAGTGGATAAGTAAATCTGTTGTTAACAGGGCTAAAGGATTTACGTAGGCCTCCATAACTACCAAAGAATACTGGAACAATCCATCAATAAAAAGTAAAAACACACAATTCTATGCCTACACAAAAGCTGCACTTCAGTTACCAGCTTCTTTCCTCTACACTTAACTTCAGGAAGAACCATATTATGAAGTTATATGTTACAATAAAAGTGTACCTCTATCAGTCCAAAAGCTGTCCCAACTATGTAAAACTGCTATTAAAAGCTATTTAATTGAGTAGGAAGCTGAGGAGGTAGAAGCAAATAGATTAAAATCACTCCTCAGAGCTTACAGGTTTTCAATACAACCACAAAAAACTTTAAGTCTGCAAAATGAGTAATGAGAGATGGAGGGAGAGGAGGACAGTTCAAGCATGACCATCAGCAGTACGTCCCACTTCTCTGTCAACCACGCTGTTCCTCAGAAAAGTACTCTTATCTGACATAAAACTGTGCTTGAAAATACTCAGTACATTACCTGCTAGAAGCATACAAGTGCAGTGCTGTGCCCACATAAGACCCAATTGATCTTAGCAGCAAACTGGCATTATTAATAAAATTCCTCACACATACAATAATTTCCATTGGAAATTTCTACTTCTAACTGGAAGCTGCCTACGTGCAACAAGGAAGAAAAAAAGACCAGCTGAATCATATCACTGGTTCTGTTTCATATTTCATTTTTCCTCTCAATTAATGATAATAAAATTTGATTTAAAAAAGAAATCAACTCCTCTTCCTTCTGAGTACTGTGCCACTTTTCTTCTTTTGTTACTGTACTGCAATGAGTCCTAAATATACCCTTTTTAAATTTTCCTTCTCTTACCAGACTTTCCTGTGGCCTTTTCTTTTTAATAGGTAAAGCTACTGCTTCCCTGTATAAAAAGAAATACAGACATACTAGCAGGGGCAGAGGTCATTCGATTCTTCTCCTCAGCCAAAGTCTGGCAGACCAAAAGCAATAGCTCAGCAAATGCTTTTGCAGCTGAACAACATGGTTGGATAAGTCTATCTTCCAATCCTGAATCAAAGACTGAAAACTACAGTCAAGGATACCATGCTTCCAAGCAACAGCCTCAAAATTCACGGAAGCTGAGCACGGAAGACTGATCCGATTGATTTCTAAAGTTTTTGTACAAGTGTAATGGAAAATGGTAGAATGAACTGGATCAATGAAAGTAATTTCCTCTCTTCCTCATGAAGGGGAGCACTGCTTGAGCTGGATATATAGAACACTAGCAAATCATACTCAAGATAAAACTTTGCAATAATTAATGTTATTAGGAGAAGAACCACAGAGTACAGCCCACCGTAGTCATTGCTAGATTGTTTAAACTTCAACATTTTATCTTTTTCTTCTTATATACATACTTCACTGCATGAGGTAATGCTTCCAAGCATACATGAAAAGCCAGTTACAGCAAATCACTCTCAAAAGAGTCAGACCGTAACATTGATTTTTCTTTTAATACAACATAACTGTGAAGCAATGCAAAGCTTTCAGTAATTCACAATCAAAATACAGTGTCAAGGCTAACCTAAAGACTTTTCCACATTTTCTGTACAATTGAGAGTAGACTGCAGATTTGTATCTCACTTCATGTCTGCATAGGTGGTAATAATGCATTTTGTACTGAAGGTAACAGCCAGTAATTATTCTTGTAAAGCAGAAATAACAGATGATATGTAGATCAAATGCTGACAAAATGGCTCTCAGAGCAAGTCTTGACAAGCTGCACAACAGCCTACATCCCCTAAGTAGACATCCCAATTATATTCTTCCCCCACCCCCACAGGAGCAGAGTTCTCAACACATGATAATAATGATTGCACCTATTAGCTTGTGCTAATAACCAGGATGACCTGAAAGGTAGCTCTTCCAGCATAACAACATTCAACAATGCAAAGGGATGGGTGAGTGAAGAGAGCTTGCACTGTGCACCTCTTTTCCTCCGCAGTGCTTTGGGTAAGTTTGGATCCTGATACAGCATCTGCAGCCATGCAGCAGGCCACGCACGCTCTTCCAGGTTGGTAGAATGCTGGAACCACCTCAGAACTCTAATATCTTAAGAAGAAATTTCTTCCAGAAAAACTGTTTGGGAGGGAGGGAAAAATAAAGACAACAAACATACTTCACCTCATATTTGAACAGGGTATTTTATTCATGGCCCAGCTGTCAGATGTCAGTGCTTCACCAGGAGGTAAGCAAGAACCAGCCAGCTGACCAGTACCAATTTACTCCTATGCAATGTATTCCTATTCGCCAGCATCTGCCCACCAGGACACGTAGCAACTCCATGGAATACAGGGTGGGTACTGCCTAACAGAGGTGTAAGTATGGGACCATCATGTAGGGATAAAAAGATAGATGTGGGATAGAATATATGGATAAAGAGCCAGAAAGCACCGGACTGGGGAAACACTCATCTATGTTGGGTGCTACCAAGTAAGCCACCCCGTGTATAGGTTTGAACAGATGCTGTGGAAAATGTAGGGTCACTGACTACCATAATGCAGACAACAGAAAAGTTGCTGCCTAAGGTTGCGGGCTGAGCCAAGTTTCTGGGAAGGTAACCAGGCCACAGAGAAGGACAGCAAAGTAGGGGCCCAGCCGCAAGCCGAGGCTCATTCCCATTAACTTCACCAGAAACTTACATCTATTATCACCAGTTACATATTAACCATGGCCATGAAATGGTATGCATCTCTCAGTACACCACACTTGTACAACAGCTCACAGAAAGCACGTTTCCCACAGATCTTCACGTAAAGAGAACAATTTGGGTCCTACAATAATATAACATAACCTGCCCATATAGTATGTTTTGTTCCTCACAGGAGCAATGGCACTGGGCAAGCATTTACAGCACGCTCATAATTCCGCATTTTAGAAGCTACAGCAACAAAAGCAAACAATCTCTGCTCTTGGCAAAATGATGTAAAAAACTGCAAGCAGGTTTGTATGGAAACTCAAGGCAACATTAAGTTCTGTGAAGCTGGAGAAAATCACCCATTTGTGTTTTGCTGAATGGATCCCCCTTCACTCACAACTCCCCCGTGCCCCAGAATATCCAGCCCACCCAAACCCACCCATTCAATTACCAGCAAGACTTGACACTGGGTCTTTTAGCAGCTAGCAAATCCACTCTACCTAACAGTGTGAGGATTTTGCCATCTATATTCATATCCGGAATGAGCTACAGTAACAACTATATTGTGGTATCTTCATTCCTTTCACTTCTCTCTCCCACACCACTACCACAGTTCTCCTGCTTATCTTATGTAACACTTCAGTGAGACCACTTACAAGACCACCTACAAGATCTTCTGCAAGAAGATCCTAAAGGATGCAGTTGCTAGCAAAAATAAATAAACAAACAAAGTGCAAAACACTTATTCAGACTCTGAAGGTTTCATATCGTGACCCTCAGAGAAGTGTATTTATTAGATTACTCAGATTTCTGTTTCTATCAACCCTGTGCTCTAAGGAGTGAAAGTGCAAAACAAAACCACAAAAAGCACACCATGGACACCCTG